TTCAAGATTGATCCTTGAAAAATATGATTTTTCTAAAATAGGGAATACGATTCCCAGTAGGATGAAGAGAAATTTTTTTGAAATTCGCCCATTCTATTCCGCAAGATTCGGGCGTCCATACGATGGATATCTCATCCTTCCAACAAAATATGATTTTTCTAAAATAGGGAATACGATTCCCAGTAGGATGGAGAGAAATTTTTTTGAAATTTGCCCATTCTATTCTGCAAGATTCGGGCGTCCAAACGATGGATATCTCATCCATTCAACAAAAGCCATCTAAGATTCCCCTACCACATGAATAACCGTCCTCTGCCTGCCAACTCCTTTGCTAATAGCTTATGTGGACTACCTATTAAGCTTATTGGCCTGAAATCTTTTATGTTCACTGCCCTAGTCTTTTTCTGTATTAGAGAGATGAATGTAGCATTTGCCCTTCTATCTAGAGCTTTGGATTCCCAAAACTCCTTATACATTTCTCTGATCCTTACGAATATTTGCATACACCACTGACTCGGGCATTAGTTTGCAATCTATAATTCCTTCTTCTCTCCACTCTGTCTTTGTTTTGGAATAAAGAAAGAAACAAACCAGCATTCAGCCTCCCAATCTCCACCACTCTGCCTTGTCTTCCATTCCTCAGACACCCCCATCTGGCTACATCCTCAGCCTCTGGGTCTGAGTTAACAAAAACAGTCAATCAGACCTGTATTTGGCAATTCCAATTTATCAATTGATGGAACCACATTTTATCTCTCCTCATCTTACCATTTCAACTTGGTGACTTAGTGATCAAAAAATTTTGAAGGAATTTCTGGTAAGCTCTCTATAGTTCTCCTTTGGACATTGACAAATTGGTTCTCAATTTTCCTTAAAATGGTGCTGATGTGTGTTGTAGTTCCATGTGTCAGTGATGAAACTCCATTTTGTTTTTCTTGCCCCAAACTAGTTGTATTGTTCTTTGTGCGGAGTTTGATTAGAAACTCCTCATCTATGTTTTCTATATCCATTACACTTTAATTTTTCTCTTGATTTCCTTAGTTTTATCTCCATTCCTTTAAATCCTAAAACCCCATTCAATATTTACTTAATTGTTATCCCTGTTTCCCTACTCTTAATCCCTTTATAATCTTTTGGGACCCTTTTCTCTAGTCTCTACAACCCCATGCAACCCTAGTGTGTATTTTGTAACTACTTGTCTGTTCAACCTATTCTGGTAGTTGTTCAATATTCATGCTCAATAAATCCCATGGTTGCAGGTGTTTCCTGGAGCATGGACAGCGATTCTAGTTTCTCTTGATAATGTGGGCATTTGGAACCTGCGTGTGCAGAACCTTGATTCATGGTATTTGGGACAAGAAGTTTATGTTAGTGTGGTAAATCCAGAGGTGAATGACAAGACTGAGCTTCCTTTGCCTGACAACACTATCTTCTGTGGTGCACTTGCAAGCTTACAAAAGTAAGATGTTCAAAATAAACTTTCTGCTACACTGTCACTGTTCTCTAGTTTACTAATGAAAAGATAATGAAGTTGTAGCATAGCCTCTTCCAATAAGGTCTTGATTACATTCACTTCTTCCTCCCAATTTGCAGGGACCAGGCACAGAGAGTAAGGTTTTCTGGTGCACCATCCGTTGCTAATGCAAGTACAATCACAATTTTGACTGCATTTATCATAATGTGGCTCAACATATTCTTCAAATAATCATTTTGACTACAAACATAATCATTGTTGACTTGTTTTATTGTATTTTAACAATGTATAGCAGAAATTGTTTGTAACTCTGTATTTTTAGCTCGAGCAAAATAGGAAAAACTCAACATCTATCTTGGCTTTTCGTTTCTTTATCATTTTGCAGTTGATGATGCGAATGAATGGTTTAATCATGAAAATACTGAAATCCAGCGAGTCACCTCTTGCATGAACATGACAATTTCCTGGAAAAGTATACGCAGCAAAATTATCAACAAATGAGATTTCTAGCTTTATGGAAAAGCTTATGCTTGGACAATGCCCAACAAACTAAAGAGGAAATAAATTTTTCTGTGCAAAGTTTCCGAATTGACCTAAAGAAACATGGTGAACAGCAGCTATCCTGGCCTCCCTAGTCATGGAATGTAATTCATGGAAAGGTCACCATGAATCCAGCAAGCTACTTTTAGGTTTGGAGGTCCAAAATAATTGGATGGCATATGATTGGCATTAAAAGGTAACCATTGAATCCAAGCCGACTTTAACCGACCACCCATCCCCAATAGACCATAGAAAACCCCAAGATAAGTTGGTTCTATACCCCAATAGACCTTTTTACGAAGCTAAGTGGTTCCCGTGCATGGATACCGCCAAAAAATTAGCATGAATCTGATATTTGGACCATAAAGCTTCACTCCACATGCTATATCCCTCGTTAAGGAAACGCCATCCAAGCTTTAATAGCAAATACTTATTAACCGACTCTAGGTCCTTATAACCCAAGTGAACAGATAGGTTCATTGCTTTTCCCAAAGATACCATGGTGTATCTGATTGTTTTAAAATTTTCTCTTAATCATGATCATGCCTAATAGAGATTGACTCACATATTCTATGCAAAATATTATATCTGAAAATTCTTCAAGTATATATGATTCAAGCAGGTTAAATTGATTCTCCCATCGAAATCCACACTGCCCCCTTGTCTACTACTGTTTTAGCACTCAAAACTGTCTATTGAGCACCTGATCGATCTGCACATTTTGCAATGTTTCAAAATTGGATTCGACCGGAAAAACTAGGAACCAGTCACCTGATGACTGGTTCTGTTTTACCCCATACTGCTTTTTTGCCACAAACCGATGATTTGGTCAGCGAACCATTTTGGCAGTTGAACCGTCGACTTAGACAACAGTTTTTGGCCATTTTTTTAATTATTTTTTTTATCTTTTTGTCAAAACGGGCCACCTAGTCAGACCAGACAGTCAGACTGTTTGACCTAGGACCGATTTCCTGTTTGGTCTAGTTTTAAAAACCTTGACATTGACTTTATTAAACGAAAGCTAAACAATAGAAACACATAAGAATATATAATTGTTTTATATTTTAACTTTTTAAATAATTAATAATTATTTATATTCTATATGCTACTTAATAATTTTTTTACAATACAAAAATTACAATAATTAATTTCAGTTAGGGTTGTTCATCAATCGATGAAACCGACCAACTTGACCCAACTCAACCCAAGATGATCAGTTTTCTAGTATTTCCGATCGACTTTGGTTTAGCAATTTCCCAACCCAACCAGGTTGGATCAGTTTCAGTTTGGCAATTTGTAAATCGACCAAACCAAAACATGCCAACCATAGATATATATTAATATTTTATATTTTAAATATAATTTTTTAATATGTGAAAGTGAGAAAATTCTCATATTTCTTAGTCTAAAATATTTTATATCATAAATTTAATTTTTAAGTTTAAATCTTTTGAACCAAACGACCAAACCAAAAATTGACACAAAACGATACAACCCGAGTTGTCCAATTTTCAGTAATGGTTAATTGGTTTCAGGTGACCAACTCCCTAACCTAACTAGGTTAATTTGGTTGGTTAAACAACCTACAACCGAATCAAACCGACTCTGAACACTCTTAATTTCAGCTAAATTAATAATCTAATCTCCAATAAATAACAATAGTTTAATCTCTAGTAATTATTGAAAATTTTTAGCAAAAGTACACAATTATTGAAAATAAATTTATAATGAAAGTATAATAAATAACTAATAAAAATATAATAATTACAAAAATACAATAAATACTAAAAATATATTAAATTAGTTAATAAATAGATTAACCTCTAATAAATACTAATCAATAAATTATAACAAAAATACATAACTACTAAAAATAAATTTATAATAAAAATACAATCAATACAATAAATTAAACTCAAAAGTTAAATAACATTAGTTTAATCTCTAACAATTATTGAAAACTTTTTGTTAAATATGAAGGGATGGGATATCCATCATATGGATGGCCGAACCATGCAGGGTGGCTGGGCGAAATTTCAAAAATTTCTTTATCCCATCCGAGAATCATATTCCCTGATTTAAAAAAAAAAACTGCATTTTTCAAGGTTCGTTCTTGAAACAAACCGGACCAAATCTGAAACCAAGATTAGGGAGAGGAATACCTAATACAGAATCCACGCAAAAAGCTCCTCCCAACGTAGGTGTTCATGCTCAAAGAGAGTACCAAATCTTTCCTCCACTGAATATGACATAGCTTAGGGTGAGGCGGGATCAGTAAGTGGTTCTTCAACAAGAACCTCAGATTCTTCAACAAGAATCAAACAGGGTAGTGAGCACAACTTCAAAATTGTTTCTTCCAGCAAGAAACAATATCAAGATCAAATCTTGATCACTCCAAGAGGTGGAGATCGAACAGGGTAGCGCAGCAAGAGCAAAGAGAGAGAGAGAGAACTGGAAGCAGAAAGAAGTAGAACTGTGTATCTATATTCCAGTTCGCCCTCTTCCTTTATATAGACCTTAAAGAGTCAATCTCCTAATCTGATTAGGAGTTTCTTGATCCAAATCTTTATTTGGATCTGAACTCTTTAAGTGATAAGGATAATCCCTTATCTTATCTGGAAATCAATATCAATACTCCTAATCAAATTAGAAGTTTCTTGATCCAAATCTTTATTTGGATATGGACTCTTTAAGTGGATAAGAGTTATCCTCTTATCATTATCTGTTGATCCATACCTAGATTTGCCTCTTATTTAATTAATTCAATTAACACAGTTCAAAATGGGCTTTAGGCCCATTAAGCTTTCAGGCTCACTTCCTTTTAATGCTGGCTAGCTTGGCTCTTTTTGTATGGTCTGGGACCCTATCATTGATCTCTACATAAGCCACATGGGTTCAGCCTAGCCTCTATTACAAGGTCTGCTGAATTCACTACTGAATACAATGAACCCCTGAGTCCATCAATATGGGCTCTTAATGGGCCCAACATTTACACTAAATGGTCATTGGGTTCAGCCATCTTATGAAGGCCCAAGGACTGTGTGCAGATGTGAGATTAGTCCATCAGGTTTATTATCCCTAAATAGTCTTACACTTAACCTCTCAGCCCATAAAGATCATACACTATCCAACAAGAGATAACCTCTCAATTGGAATAAAATGTGATCATCTCATGTAATATGCTCCAAAACTTATTTTGTAACAGCTTAGACATGTATTTTACTTAGGGGCTGTTTGGTACTGTGGTGGATTCATATTCCAACTTCCAACTAGTTTTGGAAGGCACCACACTGAACCCATGTTCTTTTAGAGCGTGACATGTTCTGTAACCAACAATTCATGGTTCTGGAACACAAAATATTGTCAATTTTTGAACATGACACCATCCAGATCTATATTTCCTCCATACTGTTGGAGATTTACGCCTTACTATTCTTGCTTGATAAAGTTCACTTGGGTTGGCTTGTTTATACTGAAACTGGTGGTACTGACCTTATTTATCTTGTTTCATTCCATATCCGGCAAAAGGTAATCCTTGTAGTAAATATCAAAATAGATTTTAATATATTATTGTATTTACTTGGATCGACTTGCCATATGTGTGACATGGATCAGTAGTATTATAACTTTTACTCATAAAATTTGTGGCTTTCCATGTTTCAGCTCCAAAGAGAACTTTGTGCTTGAGTTGGAATTATAGTAGATGCCTCTGCTAAGTACATTGGTAGCCAAACAAGGAAGGTCTCCAGAATTATAGTAGATGCCTCTGCTAAAAGGAAACCTGCGGATAGAAAGAAAGATGCTGTTGCATTGCAAAATACAAGAAAATGCACAGAAGATAAAAACAAGGAACAAGTAGTAGCCGTCTTGAAAGGAAATCAAGCAAATATTCTATAGGTTTCTACCAGACACTTGCATGAAAAAAACACCATAGATCAATAAATTGTATTCAAACAATTTGTTTTCGATATTATAATGATTAATCTTTATATTAATAATAGATTGAGTTTTACATTTAATCTTTTATTTAAGTTGTTTAAGTTTTCATATATCAATTTGCAAGAGTGTATTAAGTATGTATTATACTATTATAATGGTGGATCAATAAAGTGCAGATATAAAAAAATGTTGAAAATAACATATCATAAAAAAAAATCCAAAACCAATGTAATTGATAGAAAGAAATGGGCTTAAAAAAAAACAGATAGAAATCGATGTTTAGTAAGTAGCGTAGGTTGGTATAATGCAATAATCTTGCCATTGTCACATTTCTCTTCCCACAGAACACTACTCGCTCTTCCATTCCTAGAAATCGACACTCTTCCATCCCAGAAACCGGCGGTACTTTACCTTTGTTTTCTACCATAGTTCAAGGGACGATGGTTGCCATCTAGATCGAACAAATATATTCAACTCTAGTTTCATTACACACGTGTAACAATGGAGTCTATTAGCCTTCTTAGCATCGCTGTTAACCATCTTTTTCTTCTCTACTAACAGGGGTTACAATACCCTGTTTTTTGACACAGTCTAATCGTTCCTGTCGTTCTTGGATAGAGGTTACATTAGTCTTTTTTGGATGCACTGTGAAGACCTCTCTGTAAAGACCTCCATTCAGTTTTTTGGACGCACTATGAGGAGCTCTCTGTGAATACCGTTCCAAGGTAAGTTTTCGTGCTTTTCTTTTTTTTTTTTTTTTTCATCTCATTTTAATTAATTGAGTGATAGATCTCATCGTTAAAAGTCATTTGCATAGATCATTGAGAGAATATGGTATATGTGTGTTTGAGTATTGATAAATGAAACCTACAATTACTTTTGTTTAGGCCTTT